GGACACGTCCACATACGCTCTCATCTCACTTCCAGTATTCCATCCAGCTTTACAGTTGAGCCTATACTTGTTACCATGCTTTATATAAACCTTTTCTGTAGGGAGCTGTAGACTGTACTTCTCAACGATGTCATTAATTTCACAAGTCTAAACTGAGACTGACCGCTGTAGTATGAAAACCAGTGGCGTGGATGTGTGTGTGCTGCACCATCTCTGTCCTCTTTTTTTTCCCTTTAGATTAACATTTGTGTATTTGTTTTTTTGTTATCTAAGTTTGTGTGTTGTTGGTGTTGTTGTTGACATTGTATACTATGTTTTGGTTGTGATTTTTTTTCTTTTGGTTACTTTGGGTTTAATCAAACACAGTTAGTATTGTTTTCTCCCAGAAACTAAAGTGGCTGGGCGGAAGGACCTTCTCTTGCCTCGTGGTGGTGGTGTAGCAGTGGGTGACACTTTTGGAGTGCCTGGCTGTGTATTTGATCCAAGTGCGCAGTGGCGTGTGTGTGCGTGAGTAGTATTGCTCTTTTAAAAAGAAATTAAATAGTCATTTCGCCCATAAACTTAGCCTGGTTGTTTGGTTTAATTATTGTTGTCTAATTTTGGTGTGAGTTAGGTTCTTCTCGAGGTTCCTCCTATTGTCGTGTGTTGATGTTTGCCATTTCATAGTGACCTACTGTATGTGATCACCTTTCTGGTATTGCCACAAATTGTATGTTTACCGCTAAGTGCTGTTTTAAAGAATAGATACTGTTTTAACTATTTTTGTACGTCAATAAATCCCTTGCATTAATTGTTTGGTCATGTTTCTGACCTTCCTGGCACACATACATAAAAAAAATCGAAATAAGCGCTTCAGATGCTGAATGTCATTAACAAATATGTCTTTTTTTGATAAATGTGTGTAAAGAATAACACTGGTGTTGTCTCAACATTTTCCCCACCGGCACATCCCTATTCTTAATGTTGGCTACATGTTACAGGTTTACTGTCGATAACATAATAATGCCCATGGCTTCTTAATATACATTCAGTTGGAGAGTCAAGAAGGATGACAAGTAGAAAATTATTTATTTATTTATGTACTTCTCTGTCTCCGATAAATCATGATCATAATACACATAGTCATGTCAGAAATCACATAATCAGCCAGAAACCTAGCAAAAATACTCATGTACTTCTTTCCCCCCATATTTGCACAATAGTAAAAAAAAATACTTATTAGCAATTTTCTCTTTGGTCTTACAGGCTTTTTCTTTTCTTTTTTTAAAGCCAATCTTTTTTTTTTTTGAAAAGCTTTTTTTCATGCACATGCTCACATAGCTTGCAATAAATTAATTAATGTCCTTTTCATACATGCACATTTTATTTTGATTATTTAAATTTTTGACATTGATTTTATAATTTATTTAGTTTTAATTGCAAGAATTCCAAAACAGAGAATTGTAGAAGGGTTTATTTTGATTTGCTCCATTTGTTTTTGATTAGTAGCTGATGCATCACTGAGGTTTTATTCTCCTTGTCACACACACTCAGGCAAATTCAACACTCCATCATTACAGTATTGTATTAGGTTACTGTCACTGCCTATTAAACGTTTGCCCCACAGACATGCAAAGATGATTCTGTCCAGATGTGGTGAGAATACCCTTTCTCGTCCACGATATCGCAGCTGTATACCTCTGTCAACCATTTCCTCCACCGTCACTGAACAAGGCTCTGAAACAAACACAACATCTCACTGTCACTGTCACAAATAATAATTATAATATAGTAAGAAAAGAGTTTTCATACTTACTTAAACACTTAATTATCCCCCTCCATTCGCCTTGTTCACAGGTCAAGTATTTAGAGTAGGGGGGACTCAGATCCAGTGTGTATTTATGAAAGCAGATGTATTCAACTTTCTCCCTTGAATTATATTCAGATTTAGTCATTTCAGTTGTATCTGCAAACTCTACTTGAGGTGGTCGTTCACATTTCTCTGAGGGCAAAGCAAAGTTATTTTTAGGATATTTTAAGATGACCAAGAAAATGTGGCATTAATAAATCTCAGTATCAGCCACATGCCTTTTCAATGCATTAAACCATAAAACTTTGCAGATTATTATGCACATTATTAATATAAGATTTTGTGGTCATTTGTTTAAATCTTGTCTTTCTGTATTAAAGAGATATGTGGATTTTTATACAATACATTATAACTAGATCTATTGCAGTCATCCATATAAAGCTTGCCCCCACAGTGCTAGAGTGAAGTTGCTAGGTTATTCTGGGTGGTTGAGAGAACATTTCCTCTTGGCTCATATCAAGAGAGACTTGTACTGATAAATTAAGAACCAAAGTTGAGCATTTACTTTAATATGAGCAATACAGATACTTACAAACACTGCTAATAAAACTCGATTAGTAAACCTGTGGATCTTACCTCCTACACATTTAGGAAACGGGACGTTCCATTCTCCACTTGACAAGCAGGTGATTTTTCGCTCTCCTTGTAATTTTGTTCGCCTCCCAACACATGAAAGAATTATTGTGTGTCCAGGTCTGATTGAAACCTCAGTCCCCAGGGGTCCGTCCTCAGTGGCGTCTGATCTCATGTTTACTGGCAGTTTTGCGACACACTTTACCTCTAAAGAATAGAAAGATCTGATAAATTAAGCATCCTCATGTGAACAACAGATCTATCATTGATCTATTTTTGTCCAATCCAATGATTTTACCATATGTGGTCTTACCTTCACATTTAGGGAAAGGGCTACTCCATTCTCCATTTGATTGACAAATGATTTCTCTCTGTCCTTTTAATATCAGCCCTTGTCCATTGCATGAAAATATTAACCTGTGTCCCGGTTTGACTGAACCCTCAATATCAGGCGATCGCTTGATTTTTAAGTCTTCCATTGCTGTGTTTAGAGGACAGGTTGCCTCTAGAGAAAGCACACATTTGATCACATCCACACAGAAGCTTTTGTACTTTATGTGTCCCTAACTTGCAATGAGTAGGTTTAGCATATTTGATGATATGATATTGCACAAGTCACGTTACAGCCAAGAAAACTAGAATTAAAGGAGCTCACATCTAACCACCTCATGAAAGATGTACTACAATGCATTCCTGACTAAGGTCTATTAGCTTGTGTGAGATTTGTGATACAAATAAATACAATTTCCACTTAATTTAAAATCATTCCTAGCTGTTGTTCATCATAGATCTAGTAATTTTTTTACTCATTATGTAAGTACATGTGATTCTAGATTTGTACAATTTTAAATAACTCTGGTGTGAAGAAAAATGTTCCACTCCATTTTTTTTTTCATTTTGACAGATCCATTGTCCTACTAAAATTTCATTATATGGCTCAGTGCATTGGTATCTCAGAATGTCTTTATTTTCGTAAATATCTTTCTCATGTGCCCAAGATTTCTCAAGAAAAAACTGTATGTGTCACATTTTCAATGTGTTTAGTTCTGTTTTGTGATCTTGTTTCCCCCTTTCTTTTGTGATTTTGGTTCAGTCCTGTTAGTTTTCCCTGTCATTAGTCCCAGTTCTTTTAAGACCTGTATTTTCCCTCAGTTGTTGCGTTTACATGGACCCTTATAATCGGATTGACGGCTCAATTTGACAAAAAAAAAAAAAAATCTGATTGAGCTTGATCCGACTGGAATTTCGATCGGATTGAAAGGGGTGGTTTACTCCTTTTGTAATCGATTGAGAGAACACGTAAACACTTGATCGGATTTAAAACCGAGACTAAAAGGACTGCGCAGGTGCAATGACGTTGAAATAGCGTAATGACGTGACGCACAGAACGAGCTGTTCTTCCTGTTGAATAGGTGTCATAAATGAGTGTTCTGTTATTAAAAAAATCTCATTTCACTCAGGCCCCGTTCACACTACTGCGTTTTCGTTTAAAAACGGAGACTTTTAGCTACGTTTGCACCTCCCATCCAGACTAAAATGGAAAAAAACGAAGACCTAAAACGGAGAAGTTGACCTAAAACGTTCTGCGTTTTGAATCTCTGGAGGGCTTTTCAGTGTAGATGGGACAAAACGGAGAATGAAAACGGAGGTAGAAACGATGACGCAGAGGTTCACGCTCGGCTCTATGATTGGGTGTCATCGGTCATGACGTGTCCTTCCCTGATTCGTCAGCCACTGTTTACACCAGCACGTTCATGCCCAGTGTTGGTGAATGGTCACGTGGTCCGCGTTTTCAGTCATTTTAATGTGGATGGAGATCAATTCTAATATGCAGATAAAACGCTGGTGTGGACGGAGATCGTATTCGTTTTAATTCTCCATTTTAAACGAAAACGCAGTAGTGTAGACGGGGCGGGTGTGTGTAAAGTGAAGCAGGACAACGTCCCACCAGTGCTTGTTTTTCTCATCCACACAAGACTTTTGGGCGCAGGGTTTTACTGCGTAATAAATATAAGCAGCACGGCAAAACAGTTCATGCTCATCGTCTGGCAAATCATGACCAGAGACGGATAAATATTAAGTCTGTTGTTTAAAACAAATAAAGAACCAATAGAGGAGAATAGTTATGCGCAACCAGTAGCATATTCGTGCAGTGTGTGCATGTCAAAAAATCAATTCGAATTTGAATCTTGCGACATATAAACGCGCATTATTTTATTTATCACTCACGTAAACACTGTGTTCAGATTCATCTATCGGATTGATTTCATTCCATTCGAACCATGTAAACGCAGCTAGTGTTTGTTGGTCGTCGTCAATGTATGGTTGTGTGTGTGTTTGAAGTCCTGGAGAGTTTTCCTTTGTTTCTGTAAGTTGAGTTTTTAAAAAAATCAACTATATTGAAGTTCTCGTGTCCTTATCTTCGGCATCCTATGTTTACATTTTTACATTTGTAAAAAAAAGGCCCCCTTGTGGCCGCTTAGCGTCAGATAATTTTACTGTGACTTTCCAACGAATTCTCGTCAAAACGGCAAAATGACAAAATGGCGAAATACTACGCACATGGCACCCGTTATCGTTAATATAACACGTGCTGTGATGGGTAGGTTTAGGTGTGGGGTAGGGTAGGGTAGTCTCATATTACGCTAAAGTATTTATGACGCCTTGGGTTTGCGTGTTATATTAACGATAAAGAGTGCCATGTGCGTAGTATTTCACCGTTTTGTCATATAGCATCGCCTATATGAAGCTAAAGGATGAGAACGGGTTTTCTCTCTCCTATGTAAGACGCCTCGCGTCTTAGGTAAGTAGCCTAAAAGAGGCTTAGAAATAGGGTTTCGTTCCACCAAGTGGGGCACTACTTACTTTTTTATATTTAACATAAATATAGAGATATATAGAGATTCCTTAAGAAAAAGTTCTCTGCACACAATCTTGCAGTTTTGAGGAAAATGATGCTAAAGGTGCCCATTTCGAAAAAAAGGGAAACCATAGGGAATTTTGCACTTTCGAACCTGTTTATCATATACTGTAAACCCAAAAATGGCAAATTACCACGTGAGGTACAAAATAAACCAGTTTGAAATGTGTGATTTACCTGAAGTTGCTATATAGGCACAATAAACATAAGATTATCAAGAAAACTTCTACTGTAGCATTAACATCCCAATTACTTCTCATTATGTTGTTCCAATTCAAAGGTAATATTTGAGGTAAAATCTGAATAACAGATATAATTCAGCCAAACTATAATATATATATGAACCTTTGCACTTTGGAACGGAGTCGCTTAATTCGTCCGTCTCTGTGCAGTGAATGTCACTACTTCCTTCTGTCTTTTTCTCAATAGATACACACTCAAAGTGAATAACATCAGCATAACTTCCCTCCTCTGTGTTGCCCGTTGTAGTCACACCCCCACCTGTGAAAGAGTGTTAAAAGGATAGTATACATTTCATTAGAATGACACTCATAACTCACATTTAACTTTTGCTCCAAGTACAACACTGTTGCATCCAAAAACAAACTCAGACCCCTCTGTACATTTAAAATGACCATTGGCTGTGACCCCTGGACGACTGCATTTTGAAAAGTTATTTATCTGAATAATGACAACCAATAAAAAGATATGGTCATTGGTGAGGTTTCAATTCCCATAATTCACAGTTTCACTAATTGGTATCTCGCCGAACAGCTCAATCACCTTGAGTGCACTGTTTGCCTGGATTTTATATCTACTAATTAAATTATTGAAGTTTGATTGCATTACTAATAAAATATAAGGAGATACTACAATTAAGTAGATTCTGTGCGTCAGGTAACGCCATTTTGCCATGTGTGTGTGAATTCAAGGAGGTGTTGAGAAAGACATAAAAGATATGTTTTATTGCACATTAAAAACTAATCGCAGCCTTTTCAATTTCAAATCGGTTTCAATGCGATTACATGTAAACTGCGATTAATCTTTCAGCCATACACTTGAAGATGATTGAGCTTTATATGTAATGTCCTCTCAAAGACACTCTGAGAAGCACAAACAAACATTACACAAAGACAGAAGTGTCATGTAAATGCTAAAGTTACAGTACATAACAAAAAGAAATGATCAACAGTATCTAAAGCTACAGTTTGGGAAGTGCCTATAATATAACATTTATATTCAAGTCAATAAAATCTAAATGAAAAAGATTTTCAAATAAACAACGACAACAAAAAAAAAAAAATCACTTGCCTGGGCAATTCAAGGAAAACAACCAAAAGACAAAGCCGACGAGTTTTACAGGAACTCTCATTTTGATTTAAATTCTCTGATAAAGTAAAAAAAAAATAATAATAATAATTTGTTTCCTTTCTTATACCGGACCTCTCTGTGCACAAACGATTTTCTTGTAAGTGAAAAGAAAAATGTTATCTGATGCAGTATTTGTCATTTTGACACACCAAAAGAAAAGTTACTTAAGGGAAGTCACTCTTCTTGAGTAAACACTTATGAACAGGAAGCAAAGGGCACGTTTCAAAATAAGAATAAGCTCTGTAGCTTAAAGGGACAATTCACCCATTTGCATTAAGCTTTGTAGCGTTAGAAACCCAGTCATATTTTTGAACGTTCGTCCATTATTCCATAATTTTTCCCTGAGATGGGAGAAATAAGGATTTCAGTGTTGCAGTTCCTGCTTATGTAAAATCTTCATTTTGCGTCATTCTAAGCAGGAAGTCCCATATCTTGGTAGAGATGTTGAGACTAACACTCGTTCCTTATTTTCCCAGGGGGTGGGACCCACTTACACTACAGAACTATTACAGATCACTGGGTGGGACTTCACTTGCAGAAACTAAAAGCAATATCCTGCATCTTGTTTGGAAGCTACGGAAGAGATCTCTAATAGGCCGATACCTCATAGTCATAGGCGCTGTTCTGGATCAGTGGGAGTGGCTTGCGGAGCTTTCCTATGTGGTGCATTGAGGTGCATTGTCTTTCAATGCGCCCTTAAAGGGATACTCCACCATTTTTTTTCATATCCAACTGTTATTCACTTAACTAGACGAGTTGATATATACCTCTCTTGTCTCAGTGTGTGAAATAAATCACTCTGTCTTGCGGCGAAACTTTGATAGCACTCAGCTTAGCCCAGTTCTTTGTTTAGGATCCAAGCAGAGAAGTGACCAAACACCTCCACCTTTTCCCTATTTAAATAGTTACATGAGTAGTTTAACTCTACCAAGAATGGTGACACAAAACAAAAAGTTGCGCTTTTCTAAACATGTAAAGTGGATAACTATAATGTGTTTAAAGAATAGATACTGTTTTAACTATTTTTGTAAGTCAATAAAGCCTTTGCATTAATTGTTTGCACTCATGTCTCTGACCTTCCTGCAGTGATGGGAATAACGGCGTTATAAAATAATGCCGTTACTAACGGCATTTCTTTTTCCAGTAACGAGTAATCTAATTGATTACTCTTCTCATCTTAACAACGCCGTTACCGTTACTGCCAAAAATGCGTCCCGTTACTATAACAACTGATGAAGCTGTTTTTTTTTTTTCATCAGACCAACTAGATCTCTGAGCGAGAGGCACACTTTTTTTTACTGTTCTTCCATTGAGCACGAGACAAGCGCATAAATGCTGACAATTGGCTGAGGTAGAGTAAACTGTCACTGTAAGCCAATCAGAGGTAGAGTTGGGCGGGTGTTCTAAAGCACGCATAGTAGTGATGAGCATTCGGCTCTTTTGACTCAGCTCTGAAAAGAGCCGGCTCCTTTGGCTCACAAACGGCTCTTTAAATGACTTTGACTATAATATTTCACTTTTTATTATATAATTATTTAATTTCTATAGGCTAAATTAGTAAAAATAGAGTCGGCTCTTCAGATATGCGAGCCAGCTCCCGACGTTCAAATAAAAGAGTCGGCTCATTCGCGAATCGCGAACGACCCATCAAAAGCTCATTCGCGAACGAGTCGATCCATCATCACCTACGCTCCTTCGCGAACGACCCATCATCACTATCGGCTAACGCTCAAGAATTGCGAACGAACCATCATAACGCATAGTCGGACAGGAATAACGGACACAAGGAATAACACAAGCCAGTCAGTCAACGAGAGACAGGTATGCCGACGAGCCCAAATAATCCAAAAGTAGCCTTCTCTAAATCATGGTATTGCTTATGTTAAGTTTTCATTTCCGTCTGTCATGTCCATGCACAATATGTTGCGATCATCCATCATCTAAAGAACAATCCAGATACAATTTCTCAGTGTTATTTATTTGTTAGTTTTCGTCTCAATGCGCTGGCATAACATCAGTGAGCGAGGGAGCAGCAGCACCACATTCATCTCAAGGAAGGAACACAAATTGAGTCAAAATAAAAGTTCCCATTTGTTCACACATGCGCAATATGAACTCTTGCACATTTTTAGTAACAGTAAATAGCATAAAGTAAAAACAAAATAACAGTAAGAAACATAAAATAATATAGTTAATGAGAACATATAACTCAACTGCTTAACAAACTTAATTTAATTTTGCCCAGTTGTGGCCTGTTGAGGGGCAATAAATATCAAAAGTTCCAAAACATCTATTGTGTTATTTGCATTGATCCACTATATAAACATAATATCTACATATACATGGCATTTGATTGGAGGCTAGTCTCACTTTGTCCCACAGCAACATTTTTTTAGATGTGTGTACAATGTTTCATGTTTCTGTTAATGTATTGTATTAAGTGTCCATTTCATTATAAAATTCTGATTTTTCATAAATAATTGAACATGCACATGTGTTTTAAGTTCCGTTAAATAGGGGTAGAGGTGGGGTCACATTTGAGCATTTAAAATTTAATTTTACTTGAAAGTAACGCAATAGTTACTTTCTTAAGTAACTAATTACTTTTTAAAATTTGTAACTGAGTTACTAATTTAGTTACTTTTTGGAAGAAGTAACTAGTAACTGTAACTAATTACTTTTTAAAAGTAACTTGCCCAACACTGCCTTCCTGGCACACATACATAAAAAAATCGAAATAAGCGCTAGATGCTGAACGTCATTAACAATTTTTTTTTTTTTTTTTTTTTTGATAAATGTGTGTAAAGAGTAACACTGGTGTTATCACAAAATTTTCCCCACCGGCACATCCATATTCTTAATGTTGGCTACATGTTACAGGTTTACTATTGATAACATAAGAATGCCAATGGCTTCTCAACATGCTGTTATACACTCGGTTGGAGAGTCAAGAAGGATGACAAGTAGAAAATTATTTATTTAATTATGTACTGCTCTGTCTCCTATAAATCATGATCATAATACACATAGTCATGTCAGAAATCACATTTGTAATCAGCCAGAAACCTAGCAAAAATAAAGCTTTAGAACTGTGTTTTAGAACTGTATTTCTTTCCCCCCATATTTGCACGATAGTAAAAAATACTTATTAGCAATTTTCTCATTGGTCTTACAGGCTTTTTCTTTTTTTAAAGGCAATTATTTTAATTTAATTTTGACATTGATTTTATTATTTATTTAGTTTTAATTGCAAGAATTCCAAAACAGAGAATTGTAGAAGGGTTTATTTTGATTTGCTCCATTTGTTTTTAATTAGTAGCTGATGCATCACTGAGGTTTTATTCTCCCTGTCACACACACACAGGAAAATTCAACACTCCATCATTACAGGATTGTATTAGGTTACTGTCACTGCCTATTAAACTTTTGCCCCTCTGACATGCAAAGGTGATTCTGTCCTGATGTGAAATGAATATCTTTTCTCGTCCACGATATCGCAGCTGTATACCTCTGTCGTCCATTTCCTCCACCGTCACTGTACAAGGCTCTGAAACAAACACAACATCTCACTGTCACTGTTACAAATAATAATTATTATATAGTAAGAAAAGCCTAATCTGTCATTAATGTTTAGAGTTTTCATACTTACTTAAACACTTGATGTTCCCTCTCCATTCGCCTTGTTCACAGGTCAAGTATTTAGAGTAGGGGGGACTCAGATCCAGTGTGTATTTATTAAAGCAGATGTATTCAACTCTCTCCCTTGAATTATATTCAGATTTAGTCATTTCAGTTGTATCTGCAAACTCTACTTGAGGTGGTCGTTCACATTTCTCTGAGGGCAAAGCAAAGTTATTTTTAGACTATTTTAAGATGACCAAGAAAATGTGGCATTAATAAATCTCAGTATCAGCCACATGCCTTTTCAATGCATTAAACCATAAAACTTGTCATTAATAATGCACATTATTTATATGAGAATTTGTGGTCATTTTTCTTAAATGCTTAAAAATGTCTTTCTGTATTAAAGAGATATGTGGTTTGTTTCATATAATAAATTATAACTAGATCTAAATTTGAGGCTAAAATTGCATTTATGTGGCCTCAAGATACTATCTCGTGGCCTCAAGATAGAGTTAGTATCTTGAGGCCACGAGTTAGTATCTTGAGGCCACAAGTTACTATCTTGAGGCCACGAGATAGTATCTTATAATTAATTTTTTTGCCAAAGTGGGACTGGGGGGCTCCGTAAAATCTGTTGCACATGGACTAAAAGTACCAAAACGCAAATTATGATTTGACGGGGTGTTATATTTAATTTATAATTATTGTTGTCACTATCACAAAATTATCTGGGGACTTGATGTTATTCCTCTTGATTGTCAAATACCTTTTACTCGTTAGTTTTACCTACAATAGTGTTTTTTGTTGTTGTTTTTGTTTTAATCTGCAAGAAGTTTTAAAAGTCAGTTATCATCGACAATCAAAATCTTACCTTCACATGTTGGTGTTTCTTCCCAAATTCCATTGCGGCAGAAAACTGTATTTTCCCCATTCATTAAGAATGATCTTTGACATATGTATGTTACTCTAGATCCATCTACATACAATTCTTCAGGTTTAGATGTTATGAATGCATTTTCCACTTTTGGAGGAATGTCACAATGCACACCCACTAAAGAAAAAAAGAAGAATTTTATGAACTGAGGTGAACACTGTCAATAGATTCTATTGTCCACTATATGCTCTCGCTGAACATGCAATAAGAGTTTGAGAGGCTCACCCTCACACACTGGTTTCTCCCATGTACCATTGACACATGTTATGAAGTGTGGAGTTGCTATGAACCCTGGATCACATTCAAATTCTATTGTGTCTCCATCTTGAAAGGTCTCCTTTGTTTGCTTTAGTTTTCCATGGTGAACTCTGGGAAAAGCACCACATTCTTCCTCCGCTGTAAAGACAGAAAACAGGAAGCACATTTCAGTACACTATCATTCGTCTAACACCCGAGACTGACAATAATAAACTCACGGATGCACCGAGTTTCGTCAGACCAAGAGCCTTCAATACATGTTGCTGAATCCCACCAGTTCCCAGAGAATGGTTTATAACCCGTGTTGCAGATGTATAATATTTCTTCCTTATTGGAGGTGTTGCTGTATATCAACCCGTTTTCCACGGATAGATCACGGCAGGTTTTCTGCTTTTCTAGAAGGGGGAAACAGTTTAAAACCTTTCTTGAATTCAAATCTCAAATGTTTTTGAGTTATCATTGTGAAGATATGATTTGAATATTGACAAAGTTCAAGTATCTGTAATATACATCACTCCATCATACCAGTGCATTCCTGTATGCCTGTCCATTGATTCTGGGAAGTACAGGTGATTTGTACAGGCTGTTCTGGTTCAAACCCAGGATTACATTTATATTGTATTGTTGAATTGATGTTGTAAATTGTTCTCTGATCTCCCAAAATCTCTGCATTTGGGATGTTTGGTGCTGCACACGTGTTTACTGTAAACAAATATCCATCACATTAATTAGAATTCATAATTATGATAATGATTCATTTGCACAAACTGTATCATTAATATGAGCACATACCAGCACACAGTGGGTTTGGTGTCCATCCGTCTCGTGTGCATGTGGCCTCTGCTGACATTTGATCATATCCATACATGCAATAGTAAGATATTCTTGCTCCTAATTTCTTATCTCCACTGAAGTAATATTCTGGCAAATACACATGCTGGTCACGTGGAATTTCACATCTAATTTCTGAAACAAGATTTATATTATTTTAATTAGTGCAGAAGTGTTTCTCTATAATCTTACCCGCACACACAGGCTCATATTCCCACAGTTCGTTCTCTCGACATGTACATTATTTGCTGTTTTCTTTTGTTCGAAAGATCCAGTGTTTTTCAGTGCAGGTGATCTCCACACTTTCTCCAGCTTTGAAAATAGTTTTTCCCTCCGGGTTGATCCTTTTTACTCCATATGTGGTCGACTTAAGCTCACAAGTTACTTCTGTACAAGACATAATTATGAGATAAAGCAACAAATTGTGAAACAGATCTGTGTATTTGCATGCCATGTCTTTTTCAGGAGACAATTCTTACAACAAAAATAAATCCTAAAATGGAACAATCAAATCTTTCCGTGAATAGTGTTGTCCCCATGCAAGTATAGAGAGACACATTTTCTATTTTAAGAACCTTTATAAATATTGGTTAAACTATCTGAAGATCATAAGTATCTAGTCTTAAATGTCTGTAAAGTTCTTTACTCTCCCCACAATCCAAATTATAAAACATTCTCACTATTTTTAAATAATCAATTTAATTGATAAACATTGTAGTAGGTAGTTATTTTTAGGTCATTTTGTAGTGACCAACTAATTATGTTGAAAAACAAACAAAAACAACCTTGAAATCAACACCGGTCTGATCCTTTCTACAGCACGACTGGAAGATGGAAGTAACAATTTTGTTTCCTTAGGATTTACAAATATTGAACAAAGATTTAAAAAAATAAATAAAAATAAGATCAAACACTCTCAATAACTTTACTTGCAATTTTGTTTTTGAATTTCCAGTTTTGATTTTACGGTTAATGGCTATCTTATTATAAAATGATCCAGTGTGACAACACAGAATTTTTCCCATAGTAAATGCTTATATGGATAGAAGATTTTATTTCCCATACTAATTGTTTATTATGTAAAAATAATTGTGCATTTTCCATCACATTCCGGGTTCAGAGTCCAGCCGAATTTAGCACATCTGGGGACTCCCTCTCTAGGCTTGAACCCTTGTGAACATCTATATTTTAATACGGCATCTTTCTGGTATTCTTGCATTTTCTCAACGACATAATGAAACGTGCTTAGACAAATCTGACCATGCTATAAGGAAAAGACAAAGTAGTAGATCATTTATCATTTTTTTTTAAATAAAAAACATAACATTTTGATAACTCAAAAAATGATATGGTACCAAACAGGTAAGAATAAACCAGTATCTTAAGACCTGCATTTTGTTGGGTCTAGTGATTATTATTTGACAAATAAAAAATAAAAATAAAATGCTCTGATTTATAGGGGTTTTTTTTATTCATTCATTCCTAAGAGTTCCCATTTTTGTCCACGAACACGAAATTAAGTTGTTGTTTTTTTTTGTTTTTTTTTACATTGCAGAGTAGAAAAAGAAATGTGTGTGTTCAGGTGGGAAACTTCAATGCATTCTCATCCTTTAGCGTCATATAGAACGCTATATGACAAAACGGCGCTATACTACGCACATGGCACCCGTTATCGTTAATATAACACGCGCTGTGAGGGCTAAGTTTAGGTGTGGGGTAGGGTGTGCGTGTCATCTTCACGCTAAAGGATTTATAACGTCTTGGGTTCGTGTGTTATATTAACGATAAAGGGTGCCATGTGCGTAGTATAGCGCCGTTTTTGCATATAGCGTTCTATATGACGTTAAAGGATGAGAATGGGCTGGAAACTTAGGGTACCGCTCAGATTAAGGAAAGCATTTATATAGTTTATGTTATGATTAATTGTTATGAGGTTAAAAACTCAGCTCAAAAAGTGTAATCTATATTAAAAATTGCCTATAGACAGTAACATGTTTTATTTCTCATCTGTAACAGTTGTGCATAACCATCACATTCTGAGTTCAGATCAAGACAAATATAACGCATTTTGGGATTCCCTCTCTAGGCTTGAACCCTTAAATATCTATATTTTAATATGGCTTCTGGCAACACTTTATTTTAAGGTGACATTGTTAAACATTACTTACATGTGCTTACCATAGTAATAACAGTAGATTAGGCATATAACAGCTCTGGTATAGTAAGTACATATATTAGTTATTATAAAACGGTTAGTTCCAATCCTTGATTCTGATTGGTCAATAGCTGTGCTTTATTCACGATAAAACACGGCTATGACCGCTTCACCCAACGGTTCTATTCATCACTGCGCCCTTAGCAACACCCTTAGCAACCACACATATCAACATAGGCTAAACAGAAAAAAACTTGAGAATTAAAAGGCTAAAATGTTTAAAGTAAATTTCGATTTACTAGGTGGCATGACGATGGATAAGTGGTTTGAGGAACAATTTGGAGAGACTTCTACAAATACGAAACGTCATGCTGAAGTGCTGAAATGTAACACTGACACATTCGAGAAGACAAATACGTAATGAAAAAAAATACCGTGCAGCAAACCCATGAATGGGCAGTGAAACGCTTCGGTGATTGGTGTAGTGAAAAGGGTTGCAGCATAGATTTTAAACAAATCACCAAGACGGAACTCAACGCACTTATCCATGACTTCTACGGAACTGTCAGACGCTCCACAGGAGAAAAATATGGGATCAGTATCTATGTAGCGTTACGTGCGGGTCTGAACAGATTCCTAAATGATCCACCGAGTTTGTCCTGGTGTCTGATAAGAGACAGCGAATTCACCTTATCCAATAATGTTTTCATTGGAGTCGTAAAAACAATGAGAAGAGAGGGTCGTGATAAAACGGAGCATCACACACCGATTTCTAGGATTTCAGCACCATAAAACTGTCCGATGCGCTTAATCCCACCACACCTGTCACTACACCAGTCACCGAAGCATTTCACTGCCCATTGGGTTTGCTGCACGGCATTTTTTTCATTACGAGTCTTCTCAAATGTATCAAATTTACATTTCAGCACTTCAGCATGACGGTTCGTATTTGTAGACGTCTCTCCAAATTGTTCCTCAAACCACTTATCCATCGTCATGCCACCTAGTATAAATCGAAATTTACTTCGATTTATTTACGAAATTTACCTAGTATAAAACGAAACATTTTAGCCTTTTTAAGTTATGTCTGTGACATTCTTGCTGCAACAGAAAACACCGCTGACAGCGCTGAGCCCCAACTAAAATATCACCGCAGTGGAGCCGATTGAAATGAGACAAATATAAATGCATGCACAATAAACGGAGATGTTCAAATACATTTAAATAAACAACAATAAATAAAGTATCTCTTGTTATGCAGCATTTTAGCAAATAAATTAATAACTAGATTAAAGATCTAACTGTTATCTATCAAAATATGTGCCTTTGTGTTTTTTTATTTTTTTATTTTAGATTTGTATTTTGCTGAGAGATAAGCTATGCCTATTTGTGTGAGGACATTTCACAAATTTTGTGTTGTAAAAAATAAAAAGAATGAGACAAAGTTTGAGAATGGTTTGTTGTTTTTATTTGAGCTTTCCTGCATATTACACATTGGAACGTTGTTGTTCACAGTCAGGGAGGGACTATTTTCTGGCGGAAGGAATGTTTTTATTGATTAAACTACATGAAAGTTGCACTAATACATTGTTTTTTATTTTAATATTGTGTGGCAACCGTTTTATAAAAGCAATAAGGTACTCGAGGCAAGTGCTGTATCGTGAATAAGTAACGGCTGAAGGGGTTGCAGGCACTCCGCTTCGCGTCGTGCCTAACAACGCCCTTCAGCCGTTACTTATTCACGATACAGCACAGCCTCTCGTACCTTATTGCTTACATATTGCTTAGTACTTATTCGAGTAAGTACAATGTAACTACGTAACCTTAAATAAAGTGTAGCCTAGCATCTTTCTGATATTCTTGCATTGGTTCAACAACAAAACTGTGCTGTGCATTTTTTAACGTAAATAGAAAAACAAGAAGTTTTCTCTCCGTATTTACAATTCTTTGCAGTCTTTAGCCTGACTAACACACATGATCCTAACTCACTCCCACTAAAAGTTTACACTTTGAATTCTTCCAGGGAACAGTTCAAGTCGACACCAGTATGACTAAAGGTTTGCTAAGAAGTATTTACTACTAAAACAAGCTGTCATCTAACTCTGATGGCAGCAATGGTCAGTGCATTAGGTATTTAGCAAAAGGGAAGAAAACAGAATATTTCTCCATTTTCTTTGGTCAGGTAGACTTGTTTGTTTTACATTTTTCTTCTGAATAGCCAAGTTTTATTGAAAGCAGTGAAGTACAACTTTAATCTAGTTGGCAGTAAAACCTGCCACACATTTAACTCTCACGGTTTCATCGTCATCACATGAAGCTTTCCAAACTTTCCAAAAATGTTTTCATGGTTAATATCCTCTCAAAGATATTCTGAGAAGAATAACATTAACATTACACAAAGATAGTCAACGCTCTTAAAAAACAACTTAAGGTCATTTAAAAAGTGTTGGATGTGCATATAATATATAAATATAATATATATAAAATAATATAATATATAAAAATGAATAAACTCACCTTGGCCTTGCACAAAAGTAACTGAGAATAGGAAACAGGAAAAGCTGATGAATTGTATGGGAGCTCTCATTTTGAACTCTCATTTCACAAAATGACTTGTTTTCTCACTCTGTTTATACAGTATGATGGGGGATCAAAGAGTGAATCATTTACTAAGTCAATGGACTTTTATACCAGACCAGGCAGAAGGATCATTTTGTTTAAAGTCCCCCTGTTGTCAAAAATGTTATCCTAAAATGTTTTTTTTTTCCAGTGAAAAAAATAATAATTCATGCCTTAAAATATCTTAAATGTAACTCCTCACCCTTGCTTCTTTTGCTTCCATGTCAATAAAATCTAATTGGAAAGGATATTTAAGATACAATATTGAATAACAATAACATAAAAAATAATAGCTTGCACTATTATATAATAAATAATTCAACTAGAGAAATTCTCATTTTGTGTTCACATCACAAGTATTTTTTTCTTTTTTTTTGTCATTTGGACAAACCAAAGGCCAAGTTGACAAAGTGGAACTTTTTAAGTCACATTTATGTAACATGTAAACGGGAAGCAAAACAAAAGTTCCAATATATTGTGTTCACTTCTTTTCTTGCAGGTTAATAAACCTGTTAGATATTCTTTCACATTCTAGTGTTCTTTATATTTAAAGAAGAACATTATTAGATGAATTAATCTGATTTAAACACATTGAAACTCTTGACCTTTAAAGTACCAAAACATAATTAAAAAAAAAAAGAAAGAAAAAAAAAAAAACTAAACATTGTCCCTAGATGAACTCACACTGAAAAAAAAAAAATCTTTTGCTGGATGTCATTTACGGGATCTTGTGTGGACTTTTAGTAAACATTGAAATGCTAAACCTCCATTAAACTCAAAGGTCTTTAATTTTATAAGTAAACGGTTGTCAGCTGAGTTTTTGCACATTCAACAAATAGGGTAAACCTTTTTTTTTTTTTCAAATTTAACCTTAATGTCAAACTTAATATTATATACAGTAAGCCATTTTATATTTTTACATTTTTTGCAACGTTTCCAAAATTTGAGACAAATAATAAAAAACTTCACTTGTGTGATTTCATTATTTATTCATCAAAATTCATTTGATTAAAAAAAAAACAAAAACAAAAAACAAAAAAAAAAACAGAATAAGCAACAGGGGTGTAAATGTAGCATAAATGTAAGCCTCAGTATCTGCTACTATAGAAGTAGTAATGTCCCCAAAAAAATCGTTTTGTCATATATTTTTATAATTTTGACAATGTTACAGTATGATATCACTGCTACAATATTTGCAAAAAAAAAAAAATAAATACTTGTCTTGTTGTCATGCTACTCATCAGAGCGTTCAAGGAAATTAAAGGTACAATATGCAAGTATTGTGTGATATAATCCAGACATCACTAGCACGGTGTGATACCCACAGCCACGTCCAAGTGATCTGAGGGCACGGGCGCTTTGTGGCTTTGATTACAATAGGTAAAAACGATACAAATACAGTTCGTTTTCTCACACAAAACGCTCGTTTCGTGTCTTAGGCCATCAATGTGTACTTACATTTACGAGTCATTAAACCATGTTTAATTTGGACTTCTCTGTGCATGCTCTTTGAGGTGGACCCCCTATACCTGCATTATATGACTGATAGACATGAACGGTTTGACCTAAAAATATCAAAATTGAAAATACTGTGGAAACAAAGACACCTACATCTTGGATGCCCTTGAGGAAAGCTAAAACATATCAAAAATTAATTTCAAATTGAACTATCCCTTTAAATAGGCAAAAGTAAATGAGTTAATAACACACAGGTGGTAGAAATAAGGTTGTAACTGAATGAGAATGATATAGAAGTGTGTCTCTCCATCTTCATAAACATAATTACATGCTGCATTTTTACATTATTAGGCCACTGAAAAGATTTAATATAATATTCATCAGTGATTTTATATATCAATATTTAGGGCGAAAAAACATCTGAAAGTTAATAGCAGACACATTCTTAAAATCTCACTGGGTTATACCTCAACTACCACTTTAGTAGTTTATTTTCAGTTATTTTGTGTATCACCTGAAAAAAATAAATACATAAATAAGTAAATGAACAGAACACCAACATGACTAATTCAGGTTCTGAAAACGACAAACAATACTCACAACTTTTGTCAATCTGAAGATTCCCATCAGAACAGGACACGTCCACATACGCTCTCATCTCACTTCCAGTATTCCATCCAGCTTTACAGTTGAGTCTATACTTGTTACCATGCTTTATATAAACCTTTTCTGTAGGGAGCTGTAGACTGTAACTCTCAACTATGTCATTAATTTCACAAGGCCCTATGGCAGAGACATCATCCAGTGAAAAACAATACAAAACATTTAGAGATTTGTTTTACAAAAAAAGCAAGAGAGAATTAATCTGTAATTGAACGACTCACTCAGACATTTCGGAGGAGTCTCCCATTTTCCACCCATGCACTTGTACGATTCCTGTTGCTTGTCCAGCACATAGTAAGACTGGCAAGTGTAAGATACCTCAGTAATCACATCTTTTTCCGTACTGATGATGCTGTAGTCTCCATGTTGAAGATATGGAGGTGGTGGACAAATCCCACCTTCCAAAAAAAAAAAATATATATTAATATATTTTTAAACAGCATTTAATGTCCGCAATTGTACTTGGGGTAGCCTTTGAAAACCAATTTTTGAGCTCCTGAATGTTTCTGTTCAAAGCATGATCTCCAGTCTCGAGTGCAAGTTACTGTGTGTGTGTGTGTGTGTGTTTCATGCACATTAATACTGAAGGGTGATTAAACTGACTGTGCTTTTCACGTTTTGAACTCTCACCCAGCTAAAAGGGGTGTGTTTCCAATTCGACTAACTTACTGCTTAACTACCATAGTAAGATGCATCGCTGAAGAAATCAACTAGCTATTCACAGCTGTTTCCCGAAACCGCATTGTCGCAAATTGGTCGTTAATGATGTCATAGGTGGTGGGATAATAACTACTTTTAATTAATATGTTTGAGATCGAATTAAAGCTATGTTTTGCTATAGCCTATATTACGGACATGGCATCTGAGGACTATTCTCATTTTTCTCGGTTATTTTGCTTTATTTCCAAATTCAATCAAAGGCTCGTTCTTACTAACACAGTCTCATCCCAAAAAGTCATATAACTGACGTTTTGGGATGTATTTTGTCCACACGTCAATATCCGCCTTTTTAGGGCCCCCTTAAACGTCGGTAGATGGCGATCCCGGGCCGTCATACAACTGACGCTTTACCTTTAACGTCAGTTAGGTGACGGGTTAGGTTTAGGGTTAGGTTTAGGTCTGGGGTAGAGTTAGGATCCCATAACCTCATCTACCGACGTTTAAGGGGGCCCTAAAAAGGCGAATATTGACGTATGGTCAAAAGACGTCCCAAAACGTCAGTTATATGACGTCTTGGGATGAGACCGGGTTGTTCTTACGTACTAAATTACATACGCACATGCGTACTCTTCAAAAACGGTGCTATAAAAGATAGAAATTACATTTGTATGTATTCTAAATAAAATGAATACATGTTGTGACTGTTCGTTGGAACGATGGTTTCGTGAAACATCGGCTCGCTGAACATAATTGGCTAACGATGCTTTTGGAAATGCACTCCTGATCACGACTGGGAATGACTTTTCTAGATTTCTAGAAACTCAGGTTGCAGTGTTGTGATGTAGACAGTGAAACCGAAGATTTTGGCCAGTGACGTCAGATCCGGGACTGGTAATAGCCTTTTTTTCAGACTTCTGATTGGCCAACATGGCTTTACGGTTAGGGTTATACTGCCACCTGTTGGTTTGGAGTGCTCTTGACAGCGCTTCATAGCATGTATTCGTTCCTCTAAATACCCGGCTTTGTGTAAACATGGCCTAAGTCCAAGACAATAACAATATAATTTTCAAAAACTTGCACATTAAAACCCATTTCCAAGTTGTCCCAGTTGTCGTGCACATGAACAGCCAAAACACATAAATAGTTTTAGTGTAAACAACGCCTATGAATTAAACAAGACATGAATGTGGCAGCTGTATCATTGTATGTATGTTATATATATATATTGTATTATGTCTAATTATTAGTTGGGTTTGCTGCTGGGTAATAATGCATAAATGTGAATGCACTTGTGGGGACTCACTTTTGCAGACAAAGCTTGCGTTCCATTTTCCATTTTGACACATCAAAACTCCTCCTGAAATTTCATTGTACGGTTTATTGCATGTATATCTCAGAATCTCAAAGTTGCTGAACAGAGTTTTGTCATCTGACAGTGTCACAAATCGCAAGTTCCTTGTTGGTTGGGAACACTCAACTGTTCCTAGAGAAACAATTTAATGCAAAGTATTATATGTGAAATAGTATTACTTAGTTATAAGATTTCAAATGTTGATGGTCATGTTCGGATGATAGTAAATGAACACATTTGATTCATATTGTAAATCTGATTTAAAGAAATGTTTCGGCTGTGAAACGATTAATCGCGATTAATCGCATTCAAAATAAAAGTTTGTGTTTACGTAATATATGTGTGTGTATAATTGTTTTGTACATATAAATACACACATGCATGTATATAATTAAGAAAAAGGTGTGCTCAACATATCAAATGTTTATATTTATATATAATATTTAATTATGTATAAATATATATATATAAAGTGCAAATATTTCTTAAATATATACATGCATGTGTCTGTATTTATATATACAAAATAATTATACACACTACACATAGATATATTACGTAAACACAAACTTTTATTTTGGATGCGATTAATCGTTTCAAAGCCCTAAATGTAAACATAAAAGATTACATTTGTACCTCCACATTGTGGATATGGGTAATTCCACCTCCCGTCTGGCTTGCATTCAATTGCACGTTGGCCGTAAAATCTCATGTTGACATTAGTGCATTGAAAAACTAAGATATGCCCAGGATTATAGGGTGAAGTGACGTCTGGATGTCCAAATAGAATTTTTACATTTTTGAGTTCTTGCTCCTGACAGGTGCCATCTGTATATAAAAAGAACGTTTAGTTTTGAATACTCAACAATACAGCAGTGTATGTAGTGTCAACCAATCATCTAAAAAGTTTTCCTTAAAAGTATCTGAATTCATGATACAGTAAAATCAAAGCAAACGACATGACAACATCAAGCTGTAACTTTCCAGTGCAGGGCTGTATGTCTGTCCATTGGTCCTCAGAATCACAAGTGATTTGTACAAGCTCCTCTGGTTCAAATCCAGGACGACATTTATATTCTATTCTTGAAGAGATTTTGTACTTTTGTTTCTGACCTCCCACAATCTCTGCATTTGGGATTTTTGGTGGGTCACACATTATTTCTAGAAAACAAACATCCACACAATCATAGAATACATATTATGTGATTTAATGAGAAGTGAAGCTTTTAATACTCTACAGCAGAACATACCAGCACACAGTGGTTTCGGTGTCCATCCGTCTCGTGTGCATGTGGCCTCAGCTGCCATTTTTCGATATCCAGACTTACAACTGTAAGGTTTTTTTACATTCAAATTCAGATCTCCACTGAAGTAAAACATTGGTATAAACACATGCTGGTTCTGTGGAACTTGACATCTTATCTCTGAAACAAGATTCACATGCTTTTAAACATATACAATGAATTCAGCACCAAATCCAGGAGTGTTTTTCTACATTCTTACCCTCACAAGTTGGCTTGTAATCCCACTTCCCATTATTTGTGCATGTAAATTTTTCCTGGTTGTGAAAGAAAGGGTTTTTGGCAGAGCAGAAAATTCCCACTGTTTCTCCAGCTTTGAAAATGGTTTTTCCCTCAGGTATGGTTCTTACTGCTCCAGATTCAGTCACATCAAGATTACACGTTACTGTAAATAAATCATAATGCAAAACAGAGTTAAGAAAAAGGTCAAGTATGCCAAAAATGGTTAGCAAACTCTAATAGGCTTTATGCCGTGCGTCACGTGACCAAACCGGAAAACGGGTCTCATCGCATCCGCTTGTCAGAGAAACTGTTAACGGCCGTAAGAACTGACTACTATATCTATCGATATTTAAGGTAATCAGCTAACCTAACTAGTTCACTTTGTTATTGGCGTTTTATTCCATTTAAATATCTAAACGTTACTGTGAAGAATAAAAAATATAAAACGTTTAAATATTAATCTGCACATGTGAGGTATATTGTTTATGCTAATCTTTGCTCGCTCCTTTTAAGTTATCTTGAGTAAAACCGCAAAAAATTACATGAAAAACATACAAAAGACCTGGACCGGAAGCGATTCGACCTGTTTTACAGAGAATGCGGAAGTAAGTTGTGCATAAAGCCTATTCGATTTTGCCTACTGTTTTATGAATACTGTATTTTCATAAATATTACTATCTGACAAACTGCTTAGTGAATGTTCGGATCGTATTCATACCGCACACTGCCATACTACTTGATCCTACTTTATTAATGGTCGAAAAGTATGTTCATCATCAAATGCTTATTTGGCTTCCAAAAAAAAAAATAATGTGCAAGCATATTAAAGGAGTAGATCACTTTAAAACTTTTGCTGATAATTTACTCATCCCCATGTCATCCAAGATGTCCACGTCTTTCTTTCTTCAGTCGAAAAGAAATGAAGGATTTTCTCCATATAATGGACTTCATTGGGAACCAAACGGTTCAAGGACCAAATGAGAGTTTCAGTGTAGCTTTAAAGGGCTTTAAACGACACCAGACGATGAATAAGGGTCTTATCTAGGACTCTTCGAGTCATGACTGGAAAAAAGATTTGTTCATTTTGAGGAACAAGTTTGAACAGGAGAGTCACAAACGCTAATCACAGAACTGAGCAAGGCGAGCATTTGTGCTTATAAAACTTAAACTTTTTACTTATTTTTTAAATGACCGATCGTTTCGTCTGGTGTCGTTTAAAGCCCTTTGAAGCTGCAATAAAACTGTCTTTTGGACCTTGAACCGTTTGGTTCCCAATGAAGTCCATTATATGGAGAAAATCCTGGAATGTTTTCATCAAAAACCTTAATTTCTTTTCGACTGAAGAAAGAAAGACATGGACATCTTGGATGACATGGCGGTGAGTAAATAATCAGCAAAAGTTTTTTTTTTTTTTAAAGTGAACTAGTTGTGTGCTAGTTTTGAATTTAATTTCAAATTCAGGAATATAATCTAGAGTGACATTTATGTTTTGTTTACATAAAATAAAACATACAGGCAATTTTGCACAACAAAAAAGTGATTATACTCTACATGCATATCACAATTCATAATAGCAGCACTAATTATCTGTACCAATGGTCTTCAGAATTCTAGTATTAGTTATCTCTTCATGAAATGTGCAAGTGCATCAGGCAGTGATCTTGAATAAAGCAAGAGACTGTGGAGTTAACCTATGCACTGTGGAACAGGTCCGCTCCAAACGCCATTCTCCATACAATGAATGACACTACTTCCATCTAGCTTTTTCTCAGAAGATACACACTCAAAGTGTATAACATCGCCATAAGTTCCTTCCCGTGTGTTCCCTGATGCAGTCACATCCCCGTCTGTGCGAATCACAGGGCATCTCACCTCTAGGAAAACAAATCTGATTTAGGCTTAGTTTCCTGATAAATCGCTCTACGTCAAATGTTATTTTAAGCAGTGCCTGTTTCCCAAACCAGAATGTTGACCGCTAACCATTAAGTACAAATCAAGTGCAGTAACAGATGTCAGCTCCACTGAGATCCCAGTTTTCAAAAATTTCTCTGAGATTTCATCTCGCCAACACAAAAATATTGCTCTTCTTCTTTGCAGTGACAGACTCCATGTCCATGTCACAGTTCCATGTAGGTCTAAGCACTGTAACTGCTACTTTTGACTTCCGGTATGTAAAATATATTATGTGACTCCCATGCTACCTGTACAGACCAATTCGCACTGCACCGACAGACACTGACCAACGTGGACAATCACCAGATTACAGTTTGTCATTTCTCAGACATTCCACAACCTGACAAAAGCCGATTCAACATGTTCTGGTATTAAGATTTGTTTTGGTCGATTGGATCACAAGTGGTCGACACTAAATAAGGGGACGGGAGCTTGAGCTTGTCCACTTTCGACCACTTCCAGGGGTATTTGAAAACACATTAGACTGGACTGCTTTCCGGAATGTGTTCGAACAGCCACAAAAGCCCGTCTTCTCAAAGCCTACTGACCTAATGAGTAAACATTAATGGACACACATTAATCAAACGAGATTTAAACTTTGTCGGCTGGAGACCCAAGTTTGGTTTGAAGACCAAAAACCTACCAAACTCAATGTTCTCACACCATTCCTGATTTCTAACACACTCACGTCTTGCATCTGTAATTCCACCTCCCATTTCTGGAAATGGTTCATCTTAAAAGTTTCTGAATTCATGATACAGCAAAATCAAAGCAAACGACAAAACACATCCCGATCTCACGGGAATTCGTAAGAATTTTACGAGATGGCTAATTCGTAACAATTCATATGACCTCACTCGCACAAATTAGTACGATTTTGCTAAATCGTACATATTTTACGAATTGGCCAATTCGTATGAATTCGTACGAATGACCTACCCCTGACCCCGCCCATAAACCTAACCATCACGTGGGTTTAGACAAATCGTATGAATTCGTACGAGTGAGGTCGTACGAATTAGCCCCTTTTTAATCACTCGTACGAATTGGTCGTGAGATAGGGTAGCAAAACAACATCAAGCTGTAACTTTCCAGTGCAGGTCTATGTCTGTCCATTGGCCCTCAGAACCACATCTAAATCTACTTTTGCCTAATTTACTTTTGAGTGGCCCTACGCTCTAGAGAGAGCATTTTTGCGTGCAACTTCGATGGCGTTGATTCTGTGAAAACTGCAACGGGGATTAAATGCAGCCAGCGTGTTACTAATGTCCTACATTGTGCTTTGGGAAACCTGGCAGCCGTTTTGGTGCTGTAAGCGACGTTAGCAATTCGAGAACTTTCGTCATCGACGAAGACACGCCCCTATTTCAACACCCCCGCGTTTTTTACCAAGGTACTGTATATAGAGTGCCCAAGTTACGACGTCACTCTTTAGGCCAAACCGCGGAAGTGAGTTAGCATTTTAGCACTAACGGTTCCTTCGCTCTAAAGTCTATGGGATTTTTGAAGTCTATTGGGATTTTTTTGGGTCTGTGGTGAACAAAGCCTCTAAATATTTTCACGTTTTGATCTATGACATAGAATACACCAGTTATAACCTGCTTGTGGCTTTTTAAAACTTTGTGTCTGTTATATACGCTTCAAAATGTATAAATTTTGGATTAACTTGTAAAGATTATCTTGATAGACAAAAAGTGTAAGGGTCACAACTCTTTGTTGAACACAGATCTTGTTTGTTTGCAATTTTCAAAAAGTCTATGGGGAAAATGCATAGCGTTTCGATCGAGGGAACCCATGCGCCGCTAGCTTCTGAGTTGTCCTACAAAGTGACATCATAACTTCGGCACTCTATTTACCTGTCAAGTTAGGCGAGAGCAAATCAAGCTTGGCATATGAGTTTTATTTCCCTCCACCAACAAAAATGCTGTATCAATGCTCAATGTCTGTGATCCTGAACATTATTGCGAAACCCACTAAGAGTGCAAATGGGAATGTGCAAAATGATTGACAGGCAGAAAGCACCTCAAAAGCCTTCTGATTGGCTAAAGAATAATTCTGGATGAGGCCCACAGACTCTTCTGTTACTGTTTACATATAGTAAACAGTGTCATCACGTGATTTCTCAGAGAGTAGATTCATTCTCTATGTACCTTACCATAACAATCGCTTACAGCACCTTTCTGAATTAAAAGACAATAATGTAAACAGATTTTCAAAATGGCCTACCCTCACAGATAGGGATAGAATTATCCCACCCTTTCATTCTACAGTGACGTCGATTGATTCTAGTTGCCATTTCGTACCTACGAACACAAATTATTTAATCTTTTTAAGTGCAGGTAGTGTCAAGTCAAACAGGTCAGATTTTAACTTTAACTTTAATAGAGAAAAAATAAAACGCTTTTCACATTTACCCTTTCTTGCAAGTATACTCCACTGTTGCTCCGTAAGTATAATCTCTCCCCTCTATAAGTTTAAAATCACCATTTGCTGTCTCCCCTGGATGACCACATTTCTTCTCTGCAGAATTAAAACAAGTTTTCCTCTAAAAGTGAACATTTGAATTAAACGATATAAATGATGTGGTCACCATATTGACAATTTTCTTACTTGAGCAGCTTCGTGCAATGAACGTCTGCCATTGTCCATTTTTACACTTTAATCTATAAAAGCCGACATAACCTGTCACACAGTTCACTTCCACTGTTTCATCATCGTCATATGAAGGTTTTGCAACTCGTTCTATGTTTTCATATGTAATATCCCCTCGAAGACATTCTGAGAAGCACAAACAAACCCCAAAAAGATGTACTAGTCAACACTCTTTAAAACAACCACTCAATGTCATTTAAAAGAGTTGGAATATACATTACATGCATAAACATTCTAAACTCACCTTGACCTTGCACAAAGGTAACAGAAAAAAGAAAACAGGAAAAGCAGATGATTTTTACAGGAACTCTCATTTTCTTCTCACAAATGACTGTACTGTAGCTTATGTTTTCAGATTTCAGTCTCTGTTTGTATGCTGGTCGGGAATCGAAGAGTTAATCATTAACTTTTAACTTTGTTTAAGCCTACCAGACCACTCCATGGCTATGCACAGCTATATTTCAATTAAAATATATGAAGAGTTCAGATGCAAAAGCCTCTAAATGCCATTTGAAATTTTCTTCTTTAATGATGATTTTTATCAAACTTGTATATTAAAGTTCAGTAATTTCACTTAAATGGCAATGATAATTACCTATTAATTGTTATTTAAGTGAAATTACTGAACTTAAATATACAAGTTTGATAAAAATCATCATTAAAGATGAAAATTTCAAATGGCATTTAGAGGCTTTTGCATCTGAACTCTTCATATATTGACAGGACACAGCAAATGATTCCTAAAGAGAAAACAAGCTTTTTGATTCGCATTTTCTTATCACACCATAACAGAAGAAAGCTAAAGGCAAACAAGTGGTTTACTGCTATTTTCTTTGCATGATTGTGTTTATGGGGTGGTTTTTCTTTGTTTAAAAGTCTTATTTTTCATAAATTTCACCTTTATTGTTAGCCGCGATCTCCTGTCATTTGAACGACCAGTTGATAAAAAATATCGTTGGTTTAGCATAAAAAAATAAGTAACCTGGTTGCCTTAAAATTTTAAGTTCATTGAACTGGAAAAATTAAGTTAGTACAATGAAGGAGATTGATTTAATCATCAGAAACTCAAAATATTATGTTATCTGAACCACACTAATTATTTGCGTTGACTTGACAAAAAAACAAAAAAAAACATGTTGTGATAACAAATCATGAAGATATTTTTTTTTTACTTTATAAAGCCAGCGCTGGCATTTGATAACTAAAACACAAGGCTACGTCTAGATTGGGTTAAAATAGTAATTTAAAAATTTAACCCAATGGCTGGGTTTGTCCATATTTGACCCAAAATTGGGTTAAAACAACTCAGCATTTTTTTTTTAGAGTGAATTGAAAACGGAGCATGTGTATCCTATTGTTCAGCTGGTTGATGTGGGATTTAGGAAGTAATATACTTACATTGTTCAAGATAGTAGCTAGTAATAAATTACTTTTAGAGTACCTTACCCCAACACTGCACACTCTTACAAATGCTGGGTTGTTTTAACCCAATTTTGGATCAAATATGGGCAAACCCAGCCATTGAGTTTGAGTTTGTCCATATTTTACCCAAAATTGGGTTAAAACAACCCAGCATTTTTTGGAGTGCACACTGTAAATGCCATGATTATTCTAATATGCTGATTTTGCAGCTAAAGAAACATTTATTATTATTATTATGTCAAAGTAGAAAACTGCTTAATATTTGTGGATGAACCAAATGAAACATTTTTGTTTCTCAAGATTTTTTGATGAATTGAAAGAGCAGCAGTTATGTGTGTTTGTGAAACACACTCATACACACACACACACACACAAACACAATTATTATCATAGTAAATTGTAAATTATTTATCATTGTTATTATTATTTTCCACGTTGCACTTATAAAGAACCCCAAATGTACTGGTAATTAGTTGTTGATTACCTATGAGGAATGCTAAATTGTGTCTTCTTACATCTCTGCTGCTGTTGTACTTTATATCCGCCACTAGAAGGCGTAAAGACCCTTGGAATCGGCTCTTCAGGAACTGTCCAGATGCCACAACAACCGACAGCTGAGCCACAGAAAGTAGCATGACATCAAAATATTACAGTTTATACAAACATATTGTGAATGAATGTACTGTATATGTCATCTTATATGCGAAAATGATCTGTAAAAAAAACCCCTCTAATAAGCTTTCAATCGTTTCAATTCTAATGGATAAAATCAAGTCATCCTGACATTTCTTTTTTCCTCATGCAATATTACATGCAACAGTTAAATCAGATCCAAGATTACATTTTATTTGTTCAAATGACTTTACATTTCTTCACTTAAAAACACTGTCTTACTGTAAGTAATGCACAGTAAGGTCCTCGACATACTGTACATTGGTCCTCGACATCAGGACCCAGTCTAAAGGTTTCCTTTGGCTGAAGGCAACGTGAAAACGCCTGCTTTACTCTCTGCCATAAAGGTAACAGAGAATAATAGGTGGGTGGTTGACAGATGACCTACATTAGACGCCGCCACGAGAGGAGGAGGAGGAGAGAGCAAATAAAATGTGCGAAAGGACTTTAACACACCGTTTTTTTTTTTTTTTTTTGCACACAGCTACATTCATCAGCCATTAATGAACAGAGAGGGGCAGGAATGCAAATTCAGAGAGCGCGATGCATCCTGCGTTCGTTTAGATAAATGAGAAACAGAGTGTTGGCGCAGGCCTCGAGGCCATCTCTTAGTCACCCTCACAGTCAAGTGCTCTCCGGCGCTGTTGACATGGAAGCTTGTCATTAAAGTGATATCAGAGCCCACTATGGGTCAGTGGTTTCTCTGTGCTGAGAGCCACCTCTCCACCATATGATTTTGCACATTGGATAACCCCATGGTTTTCATAGCTGTTGTGATCATTGTAATTCCAGTCTTTGAATATAATGTTTTGTTTTTAAAAATAATGGAGTAAAACAGATCAGTTGTTTGGGGCTGCCAATTAATATACACACTAAAATAGAGGACACTACAGTAAAATGGCTTATATTAAATTGCTGTTATTGCTAATCTACTCTACTGGATTTATGAAATTATGGTCTGGAGGGATCTTTAGACAGGTCTGCTAATTTTTTTCTTGAGATAGTTGGGAAAAGCAAGTTTAAAGGGATGGTTCCCCCCCCCCCAAAAATGCTCCAAACCTGTTTGAGTTTCTTTCTTCTGCTGAACACGAATGAAGATGTTGTGAAGAATGTCGGTAACCAGACAGTTGATGGGCCACATTGACTGGCATATTATTTTAAAAAATTTTATTAATGGGGTTCATCAACTGTTTGGTTTCAAACGTTCTTCGTAATATCTTTCTTTGTCTTCAGCAGAAGAAATAAATTCATAGAGAGTTGGAACAACTTGATGTGGAGTAAATGACAGAATTTTCATTTTTGGATGAACTATTCCTTTAATTTTTGGAAATAGTAACATTTCAGATTTGGAATCACAGATACGATTATATATACTGTGTATGTGTATAAAGTAAGTTCTGATAGTCTTTTCTTCCCTATTATGGTGAATATCTGAGTGAAGCGGCTTTTAGAACAAAAACAAATGTAGGGCGGGGCTTGATTTTGCCCAGCAGGATTTGATTGGATGGTTGTGGTTTGCTATTGGTGGATCTCATGTAGTTGACAGGTTGCCCCGCCCTCATGACAATAAACGCATCATCAGAGAAGAGAATAGATGAGCTGCAAGATGAAGGGGAAGTTATTTTGATTACAAATTACGAGGGCACAGGAATAAAAATAATAATGATGTGCAGGGATGAATAATAAATAGCATACTGAAATAATAAAATAAAAGTTGATTTCATAGGGACTTTTAAGTAATTGTGCTTTTATTTTCTGTCACAGCCATGACATTCCAACAAGGTCATCTAATTGGTAAAGGCGTGGTCTGGATAATTTCCCTCTTTTTCTTCAAAACAGCGGCGGTGTGAATAAATGTATATATATATATTGTTGGTTTAAGTAAGTAACCTGGGTTGCCTTAATTTTACATTGATTGAACTGGAAAAAGTGAGTTAATACAATGAAGGAGATTAATTTAATCATCAGAAACTCAAAATAATAAATTATCTCAACTAAATAAATTATTTAAGTTGATTTGACAAAAGATAAAATGTTGTGATGAATCTTGAAAATATTTGTTTTACAGTGTGTGTATATATATATATATATATATAAACTTTCAAAAATATTGTTGGTTTAACTTAAAAAATTAAGTAAGCTGGTTGCCTTAAAAATTTAAGCTGATTGAACTGGAAAAAGTGAGTTAATACAATGAAGGAGATTAATTGAACCATCAGAAACTCAAAATAATAAGTTATCTGAACTAAATAAATTATTTAAGTTGATTTGACAAAAGAAAAAAAATTGTGATAATTCAGTGTATAAATATATATTATTTTACTATTCTACTGTTCTGCAGCATGTATTGTTTTTATTTCTAATTAGATGGTTAAACTATGATGGTTTCCATGCTCTTCATCATAAACTTAACCTTAAAATGCATAATGAAGTCATATGATATGAATCATGCTAAGCTAACCTCACTAAGATCGAACAAGGCCTTTTTTGCATCCACTGCTCGAAATCATTGATTCTCCATGTCTCTTCCTCACCAAGAGCAATTAGTTCCAGATCGTTTTCTGATTGCCCGGCGTTTGATTTATCGAAGTGTCATCCGTGTGTTGGCTAACTGTCTTACAGCACCCTTCCCCGCCAATAGACCCTGATTGGGCTTAGCGCTAACTACCCACTACCTATCCAATCACAATCACCATGGAAACAGCAGGTGCATGAGGAAAGCTGCTCGTAACCTGGCTGTTTCACAGAAACATATTCTGATAGCTTTCTGTTATTGATCTTTTTTTTTTAATCTCAACCTAAACGTGGAACAAAGAGCACCCCCCCCCCCTTTAACAAATCATTAATTATATAAATGATTACACATGTCAGTGTCTGTCCATGCCCTGTGATTCAAGGTGAATAAACTGAAAGAATTAAATATGCATATCCTGATTAGCCATTCCCCTCATTCAGAATGAGGACATGCATTAAATATGCAACAAATGTCTTGAAAATAGAGTGGAATCAAAATGAAAGATTGCTTCAAAATTGCAAGTGTGGCTTCTTTCATATTCATATTTGATTGCTGATGGGTAATAATAAAATCTGTTTTTTTTCTTGCCTTTTCTCCCCCTAACAGTATCTCATATGCTTTTTCTGTCTGTGCTATTAAACTCAATTATTAGGTCAAATTAAATTGAAATTTTATTCATTCAGGCTAACTAAAAACTCCTCAATCTAACCTATTGTGCTTGATGTGTTCAAACTGTTCTC